ATGAAGTTGCAATTGTACCATTATTTAACTTGGTCAATGCGACTGACACAAGGACTAAAGAATTGGGGATTATACAAAGCTGGCGACCAATGTACAACCATCCTTGGATCAATGAAAAGCATCCTACATCCACTTTTAGAACAACGAAGTTGTCCATTGTGGCATTGAGTTACGCTTCAACATCGTCTAGATTGTGGAAGAAGGTTAGAAGAAGATTGCAAACAGTTGGAAGTCTTCAGTTTTACATGTCCTATGCAGCGACACCACATCATGGATGGGATTTATCTTATGATGCTTGCAGCAGGAGGCCTTTCAGCATTTGAAGCCTCAAGAAGACTTCGATCATCAGAGTTCCTCCATTTACATGTCTTTGCATTACATAGGTTGGCGAACAATCTTGAGGATCGTCCTCCTACCTGTAAAGAGATTCTTGCGGCGTCAAATAATGGCGAATAGAGATTTCTTGGTACCTTTTCATCTGCCGTCGCATCAAGTGGTTGCTGGGAAAACCCAAAGTATCAAAGATGTTCTATACTATACAACTATCTACCGATGCAGAAGTCGTGGTCGTGGACCACTCCACCCCGATGCAATTGCGACCAATTTGTTCGAGATCATCCAGAAGTATGTCTTGCTCATGGACATGTAGCTTCACCTGCTAGACTTCTTAATGTAACCAAGAGATTACGGCAGATTCTTTGCTTTTCAGCATCATCGGAAATTTCGCCATCATTCGAGTTCTATGCCTCCAGCACTGCCACTACGGTACGCAAGTGGATGCGCTCCAATGGTATCAATGGATATGTTCAGGATGAAGGGGATCAGTTTCTGTTATACCAATGGCCTTTACATTTGCGATCAGCTTGGACCACAGTCAAGAAGAAGGATCTAATGTACTTACGACAAATCCTACGTGGAATGGTGATACAAGGTTCTATCTGTGTTGCCCATTCATGTATTGGAAAGTACTAAAGGCCACTTTTGGAGATCAACAAGTGTATCGTTCAGTGTCTATGTCACCTATGCAAGCTGAGCAATTCTTGTTGCAACATTCACAGCGAAAGTGGCATAGGACCCTATGCATGGGGTATGTCCACTAGATCCTCGTCACTTCCCATTGCCTATATTCTGCTAAAGAAAAAGAAGGCATTTCAAGCAGCTAGACCAATCATCAGTTATCGTTTCTTCATCTTTGCCAAGCTCTTTCGTGCAACTGCCATCGTATTGGATTTAATTGCCAGAGAGACTCTACCCGATAGATTTGGATTGCAAACTTTTCCTGCAATGATGGATCAGCTTATCAAGTTCTTTCAACAAGTTCCTGCAGATTGCAACTTGCAGCGTTACAATCAGGATTTGGTGGGCTTCTTTACAATCATTCCGATTGAACGTATTATGGATGCCGTACAATGGATGCTTCAGCAGTTAATGTACAAAGATGACATTGACCCTGCAACGTATTCTTTCAGTGTTTCTCTTCGAGAGACTGACAGTAAACTTCGAATATGGAAGGGTAAATCGAGGGCAGCTGGACACCGTATGTATCAAGTCTACTTCCGAGATCTGCTTGCCATTGTTCGGATGTCTTGTGATTTCAGTTATTTTACTGTTATGGGTCGAGTCCTTGCACAACAAAGAGGTGCGGCGATCGGCAATCAAACCTCTCTAATTCCTGCCAGTATTAGTGTGGCGTATCTTGAACAAGACTGGGTGAATCAGTTCTCAGATGTACGATCACGTAGTGCCAGTAGATTCTTGTGTCTACGATATGTTGACAATCGCATTGTCCTTATCGACCAGAACTTGGTATCTCACCCGGCGTTTCGACAGATTTTACATGATGACTTCCATATTCCACCAGTGCCATTGGAAGCGGTACTTACTCCTGGGGTACAATGTGAATTTTTGGGATTTGATGTTCAATTAAAGCCGACTTTTGCCATTCAGATGATTATGACAAAGGACCTTTGGAGATTTCGGTTACCGTCATCAATACAGTTCAGCTGCAAGAATATGTCATTGTACTTATCCCGAAGGGCCAACATCAAGAAGTATGTCTGGCCAGAAGATCGCAAACAACAACAGCTTGGAGTATTGGATCAGCTTTTCAAACATATTTTTCACGAGTATAAATGTATAGTATTACTGGCAGCCTCTTTGGATGCAGCTCAGACAAGTTTTTAGTTCCCATGAATCCTAACTGTGATTTGTCACGGACATGCGTACATGTGCTTCTGTGTCCTGGTTAGGATTCACGCCAACTTTGTCTCACTTACGCAGCTTGACTGCTCAAGACCGACCCTGCGTCAGGTCCAGCAAAAGGTCCGCTAGCGCCTGGGGGTTCTAGTGTTGCCTTTCCGCTGAGCGTCAAACTTACGGTTTTAATCTCTGATCATCCTTGCTTTGCTTTGCTGCTTTGCTTTGATCTACGATTGGTTGCCTTGGGCTTTGTGACCGAGAGTTGAGTGGAATCCTCCGCTTTTCACATCTTTATGTGTCTTCTTGGGCCGCGTAGCTTTATGCCTCTTAATGCTTTGTCCAAGAAACAGACTTCCGTGTCGAAGTCTACTCCCGAAGCCGAAATTGTCTCTCTTGACCATGCAGTGTATAAATTGGGCCTGCCTGCTCTTTCTATGTGGGAGTATATGTTGGGTCGTCGTTTCCGACTGCGGGTCATGGAAGACAATGAGGCCGCTATTCGCGTCATTATCACTGGTCACAATCCTAACATGCGTCACATGTCTCGTACTCAGCGTATCGATATCTCTGCGCTGAATGAGCGCTATCACGCTGGGGATTTCATGTTTGTGACGTGTCCCTCTCAGTTTGAGGCTGGTGATATTCTGACGAAGGCCTGCACTGATGCGAAAGTGTGGGGCCGCAACCTCATGTCTATTGGTCATTTTCGTAAAGGTACTCTTATATCCTCTGGTATGCTGTCTGCCGCCCCCGCTCTCCCCGCTCTCCGGGTACATCTCGAAACCGGTCACAGCCCCTTCAACGATTTCATCTTCGATATGTCTCGTCAGGGGGGTATTTCAATTGACGATGCACACCAATTTGGAGCAGCAATAAAATGCATTCATATCGGAGGCGAAGGCATAATCCGATTCTCTCATGCTCGAAGTATCAATCTCAGTCTCGATGATAATGCAAAGGGGATTGCTATTTCGAACATCAGGGTTCCGCCCACGCCTGTGGTATGCGTTGTCACTGTTCCGATTGCTGGCGCCGCTAACAAAAGAGACGCTGGTTTCAAGAACAGGGGTTGGAAAGAAATGAGGGGCGACCTGAAGGAGAAAGGATGGGAAGCCAAGAAACTACTCGGGTGTGCTTCCGCTGCCCGATCGTCCGGTATCCCCGTGTTCCTTGTGCTACCAAAGGGTAACCCGTTATGGGGTCGGGAGTACGTAAGACGCTGGTCTGAATCGCACGAGCTTTGCCCTCTTAAGCTCTGTTCGTGCTCCTCTGATCGATGTTCTCAGCATGCATGGATGTGTGAGATTTTCATGCCTGCCCGATTTGGGCCTATTTTCATGTCACGTTTTGCATGCAATCACAAGAAGGCCAAGAGGGCCGACCCGAAAGAGCTTCGACTTGCTTTATGGGTTGTGCTTGAACATTTCATGAACTCTGCGACTTTTGGCTCACAGCAATCCGCGATGCCGATTGCTTAAACGAAGACGCTAAGGCCATGTTCACACACACACACACACACTTGCACACTCACACTTTATAACAACCGGGTATGGAGCTCTAGGGACAGCGATCATAGATCACTATCGTCAACCGACCATTACAGACCACCTCTACTACGACTCGATCTATAGCCCACTTGCGCTCCCTGCTAGGACAGGTTGTAGCTGCCACGGGCTGCGAACTTCTCCGCGCTGCTGCTGCCGCCGCTGAACGATGGGAAAGAACAAGCAGCCGCCGCAGCCACCGAAGAAGGCTGCTGCCAAGACACCGGCTGCCCGATCACCTCAGCCAAAGTCTCCCTCGCCATGCGGGGAAGGCCTTCCGAGCGCTCCGAGTGCATCGACTCCGGTAAGGCCTCCTGCTCCACCGATTCCCACGGGGCAGGATGACTCTAATATGGGCACCGATGAAGCCCCAGTTCCGACCCAGACTCCGAGAGACGAGTCTACCGGGGGCGGAAGACGTTCCGAGGCTATTCCGATAGGACTGAGGATGAAGGCGATGATGCTGAAGATCGGGGTCCAAGAGATCCCACAAGCCTCACTCTGACAACGCCTCACCAGCTGGCGTGCAACCATGGTTTCGATCAGAGGCTGCATCAGCTGATTGACTCCTTCCTCCTCACTACCCATCCGCTCGCGGATAAGCAGAGGAAGCAGTACCCTCGGGAGTTTATGGACTTCATCGACCGATATAGAGTGATGTGCGCTCTTGCATTTTCCCGAGTGGCGACACTGTCAGGTGATGCCGCAGGGGTCCGCGAGAAAATGGACCTCACGATGACCCTGGCTCGCCACTGTATGCACTTCCAAGCGCAGAGCTTTAAGGGATCTCCAGAGACGCTGAGCAACGATACGCTCCGTCTCATGGGAACATGTTATATCCCGTCGCCTCTTGCGAGCTGGAACCGAAATCTCATGGGGTACAGCAGTTCGTCTGCAGAGCAGCGATGGCTGAGGACCGATACGAGTATCAAACATAACGACCTCGCCAAGTTGTCACCCACTGAGATGTCCAGGGAAACGGTCAACCCGGCTGAGGCTGTGAAGTTCTTCAAGGGTTTTCTAAAGCTCCGGCCGACGCTGTCCTTTCTCCCTGGATCGTTTCTGGCGATCAAGGCTCTTAACCGATTTCCCACGCTGGACTCTCTAAAGGAGCAGGCCATGCATCTCGAGAGCGATCGCAAGGAACATGGCTACGATCTTCCTGCCGTGGACGCGAACGGAATCGGGGAAGTGGCCGCCTTCCGCAACTAAGACGACGATGGAAGTACCCCGTTGATGCGCGGGTGGGTCTCGTTCATGAAGGCATTGGCTGATACCTACCCTGGGCGATGCGTCAGCATCGATGATACGCTCAACCGGGGAGCCAGCACCCCTATGGCCTACGAGGACGGTGCTTCGCAGATCACTATTCACCCGACTGACGGATGGGTATATGTCCCAGCGATGAATTCGGACATTTATGATCCTCAGGAAACGTTCCTCCACGGAACGAATCTCCGATACCTCTGGTCGATTCTTGCACACGGAGGCTTGTTCGGGGAGGATTACGTGACGGACGATCATGGAAGTCACGAACCCTGCGTATGGGTGACTGGACACGCCCCCGAGGCTGCCGGCAGCTACGCGTCTGGCACGTACCTCGGTGGGGGATACTGGTTCCAAGTGATGATCTGCGTCTCCCGGACTATGGTGAACAGCCACAGCCGAACGACAAAGAAGCTGGGGGGGTCCCAGAAGCAGATCCGCGTCGGGACTAGGTTTCTCGAGTTGTGTGGGATCGCATTCAGGCCATTCCGACTTATGGACGACCGCGAGAAAGGGATTTCGACCTCCCCGCACTACGTCGTCCACGGACACCGATTCCTCAGTGCCGACGGAACGAAAGCCGTGGCCTGGCACCCGTGGATGGAGGCGAGCCCGATCGATCCTCGCATCCTGAAGCTGCTGGGAGACATTGTCGCTCATGATAATGTCGAGTTTGCAGACCTCACGATTCAAGGAGGCAGCACTACCCAACAGATTGCTTCTACCGAGACAGAGCAACCTGGGGCAGCCGCGGCTGATGATCAGGCCGCGGCGGGTAGTGGTGAAGCAACGGAGCGAATCACCGTCAGCCCGTCAGTGCTTCGACGCAATCACTGGATGCCTGACAGTTACGGAACGAGCGAGAACGCTACCGTCGGTGGAAGGTATGCCTTGCTGTCCGAGCTTCAGTCTTCTAGCTACCGAATTGAGCTTGCGCCATTCTTCCAGCTGCGTGCACCCATCCTGGGAGAGGAAGGGAGCCAGGGTCTGCCCAAGCCTTCAAGGCTCGAGACGATTGCCGGAGGACCATCCAAGGAATGGGAGGCATGGTGCAAGCACTACCGAAAGGCATACATTGTCATGCTTGGCAACTTTGGCTACACGACCGCCAAGAGCATCAAGGGTATCCAGTACGATGAAGATGGTACAACGGATATCAGGATATCATTAGCGCGCCCGTCTGGAGTCCGGCCGACGCCCTTGTGGCAATCTCGATCCACGGGGTCAGAGCGGTCACGACCATGGCTTCCACGATTGCATTTGGGGGTGCTCCGCCAACGATCAAGCCGGCGGTACCCAGTAAGCCGCAGAGGTTCGTCGTCATGCACGACGGTCTGCTGACCTTCAGGGCCGCCAAATCTTGGCACGATGGTGAGATGAACGCCCATCTGAAAAGCGCGCTGACGAGTTTCGGATTCCCGGAATCTGAGGTGCGCGTGCAGGCGTTCGATGAGGGCTATAAGCTCAAGGATATGATCGATACGCTTGCGCTGATGCAGAGCGACACCTCTATCCCGCCATCGAATGTGCACATCCTCATCCTTTGGAGAGGAGAGGATTTGTGGAAGCTGGACCAGAGCTGGAGTAAGCTTACCGATGACATCGATCTGGCACGATCACAATACGCCAAGTCGACTGCACGAGATGCTCTCGAGGAGTACAACACGATCTACGGATCAGTGTCCTTCTGCGGACCAGTGTCTCCGAGCATGGGATACCTTCCGACTCTGCCACGCCATCTCTTCGAGAAATACAGAGAGGAGATGAGGATGTTCTGGGACACGATCAGAAGGTCCAACTTCCTCACCCTGTCATTTGACGCTATCCTGGAGGGACTGCCGTTCCTGAGGGGATATCACGTCATGCACGAGTCCAAGACGATTGGGGTCTTGTGTACTCGTATCTGCTCGATGTTCACGCTTGCGGCTCTCGCGCGATTTCCATCTTATGGGACCCGCCGAGAGTATCAGACCGCTGCCGGTAAGATGTGGGAGCGCACCCCAGTCCCGGAAGAAAAGCCGAAGGGCGCGGTGAAGGCCATTGTGCATTCCACGGTGCAGGACCTAATCGAAGGAGCAGATCGCGGTCCCGATCATGGACCCACGAAGACTGTTGATATGAGTCAGCTCGGCTTCGATGACGACGATGATGAAGATATGGCCGGTGACGTAGCTCCAGCTGCGACCAAGCATCCGGTTAAACAGGAACCGGGGACATTTGCGGATCTTCCGGGTGTTCGTCATCCAGATCCGATTGTATTGCCCGCTACTCCTGTGCCCGGCCAGGCAATGCCTGTGTCGCCCGGCCTTGCTCCGGCTGCTACGAACGATGAAGAATCTAGCAGCAGTTCCGATGATGACGAACAGGAAGGGGATGGCGATACGGCAATGCCCGAGGCCAAGAAGGAGGAATCCGATGAGGAGTTCAATGAGCTTCTCGAAGAAATGACTGATGCATTCGAGCAAATGCCTACTCCTCGTGATGCGGAGCGAACTGTCGCAGCCAATCGGGACGCCGCTCGACCGCCTGCCGTGCCGACGATTCCCTTTTCCGCAATGAAGAAGCCGAAGCCGAGCAGGGCCCACCACCGAGAATCGCCAGAGTTATGCTCATTACGAAAGCCAAGTCAGTGAGGCTGAGGCTCGCCGTGAGCAGGCTGCGAAGATGAAGGCACATATCGCTGAAGTGGCGAAGGGTGCCACAGGCGTTGAAAACGCCGAACACCTTCGATCCATTGCCGATCGGCTCGCCAGGATCATGGACCCGAACATTAGCGATGACAATGTGTTCCAGGGTGCCATGTACCCTCCGGGTGACTATGCGCTCGACGCTGTCACGAACCGGTTGGCCCAAGGCAGGCGTCGGGTCGAATCGAACAGCAATCTCATCAGGGAGATGGCCAGCGACCGATTTACGCCTGTGCTTATCAACCGAGATACTGGTGAGACTGTGTCAGCCATCGATGCACGATGGACCCCAGAGTATGGAAACAGGGGGGAGCTTGAGGCCAAGGTTGGTGCGATCATTTCCAACCTTGATGCCGTGGTTGCAAGCATGTCAATCCTTCCTGTGTTCCATCCGCACATTCCCTCAACGTATGGTATGGCTCGATCGCTTCTCAATACCTACCAGTCGTTGCAGATTGCCATTCGACACCGTGGCATGGGTGCGATGTCTTTCGAACAGATGGTGTTCAAACCTGAGGACCTTGAGGTTCCGACGCCCGATGATTGGCCGGACCTCATTGCGCCTACCCCAGGAAAAGTCATTCAGTCCATGCGGGTAGCCCTGGTGAACAATACCGCAGCGAGGTTGACGAGAGAAGACCTCAAGCTGCTAGGTTGTCCCAGTTCCGGCGCAGTGTCGCGGTACAGCTGCGGAACACTGCAGGGTTCATTGCGAGCGAGTTCCAGAAGCATGCACGATCTATAGCTGCTTCCTCCTCGCGTCGCAGTGATGCCTCTGGCGCCCTAGTATAGCCAGGGTGAAGGTGCGGCAGACAACGATCTTCCGTCCACCGAGCCGGCTAGTGTCGCATCTGAGCGTGCGACGACGCCGCCTCCGCCAAAAGTGGCTCCTCCTCCTCCGCCAACAGCGGAAGCACCTCCGAGGGCGTCCGAAGAGAGTGCAAAGGAGGATGACGATGATAGCAAAATGGTGGATGACACGGCCGATCAGAAGCCTGAGCAGAAACATGAGGAGGATGCCGAAATGGGTAGCGGACAGGAGCTGCAAGACGAGGTCCCCGGCAAGGCCCCGCCGCCAGCTGCCCGAACCGCTGAAAACCCACCGGGACACGGCGTGCGTTCCAGTTCTCCGAATGTGATGAAAGCTCAGGGAGCCGTGCTCTCCGGTGCTCGTGGGCCGGATATTGATATTGATCCAGCCAGTACTGCCGCTGATCAGGCAGCGAACGATCCGAGAAACTGCCGAATCGAGGGCCCTGGTATCAAGGCGACAACGATTCATCGCCCCGACCAGATGCCCGAGAGAGGCCTCGACTCCATAGCGCCGGTCGTACAGTATGAGATGTCGTCCGTTCCGGTAGCGCTACCGGATTTCGTCGTTCCGGGACTCGACATGGGCATCGATGACTCTGTCCATGGTCGACTAGTCTCAGCGACCTGCCTCCCACCGACCGACGAACAGCGCAAGTTTTCGAGGCGACGATTCGCCATGCTCTCCTCGAATCAGACAGTGTACTTGAACGAGGCACTTCACAAGAAACCTGTCAAAGGGGATCACGATTCTTTCCTCCGACCGGAATCTTACGAGGATTGCCGCGACATTCATGACGCTGTCCGGGCCTACAATGCCAGAGAGGCCAAACACCGATCTGTCGGCGGAACATCTGTGTCGTGCAGCCGATTGCTTATCGACGACGCACAAAACATTCCTGCTGCCACGATTCCGGACGCAGGAATGATCAATTTGGTGCGGAAGCTGATGTTCCGAGTGCTGACACAAACGAAGGAGTATCCTTCCACTACTGCCGGTGGACCGCAGAATCGCCCTCAGGATCGTGAGAGGGGCGTCCCCTTGTATTCACACTTCGATCAGAGTGGCATCATCGCTTTCGATGTCATCCCGATGTACATGGAGCGTGAGAGGGAATACATGAAGGCCAACGCCGGAGAAAACAGTGGCCGGATTCTTCTCCAGACAAATGTCCTGGATGAGAACGATGAACCATCCGAGCTTACTCTTCAATGCATCATGGAGATTGCCCGGACGGACAACAATCGAATGTTTGAGTTCTTCTACTCTACGATCAACGATGATGGAAGTCCTCAGTTTGTTGGCATCCGAGCAACTTACGGTTTCGGCCCCGATAATTTTAACCGATTCCGACTGCTGACCAAGTGCCAGCACGGGCCGTTCGTTCAGCTCGCTCAAGACCATTATGTTGGTGGCGAGAGGAAGAGGAATGTGGCCCGACATCATCCCCAGTACGGATGGGGTTGCGCAACGATTCGCGAATTCTTCGGGTACACGAGTGATTGCAAAGTCAATCCTCCGAAGGGACAGCTGTTCCTCACCCTGCTCCCGTATGCTCCCGGATCTGGGAACAACAACGAGTGGGAAGAGGTGTACATGAACGTCCGAATGAACCCGAAGCGTGAGACGCTCTCGAATACCGCGTCGACACAATCCATGCTCCCTGAAGGATTGGGATCCAACCGCATGATCGTGTTCGCAATTGATTTGCACATGGTCGCGGCAGGTATCAATCCGATTTCCTTCCATCCGAGAGGATACTACGCGATCAAAGACAGTATCCCTCTCGCCTGTATGCCGATAGCATACTTCACGGACTCGGGATCCCTAGTGTTCAACACGGCCTTCAAATACATCGGAGGTACGAAGTTTGGCACTGGCCCCGAGCGAGGAAACCACAAGCGGGAGACGTGGCCGCTCGCTAGCTTCGACTGCCCCATGTGCGGAGCTTCATTCCCGGTTGGTCTCCACATGTGCCACTCTTGCACTAAGCCGATTCACTATCCTGACGGGATGTTCTATGCCGATCCTGTGAATCCCTTCCAGGTTGAATACTACGGAAGTCATGCTGAGTGGCTCAACGAGCTTCTCGAACGAAACAAGCTGACCGAGTTCCAGCTTCACGAATATCCTGCGATAAGGCAGCTGAGGAACTTCCCGGTGTCTAGGTTTCTCGCCGAGGACCATAGGCAGACCGCATTCTTCGGGGTGCCGCCGATCAAGTGCACCGCAGTTGACACATCGCCGACTGAAGTGGAACTGTTCAAGAGGAGCGTGCGCGGAACGATTCAAGGCGCCATTCGCTTGGACATCTCTATCGAAAGGCTTGTTGCCGGGATCACTGGCAAGGAGGCTCGACGTGGCGTGGAAGATTTCTTCAATTCGCAGTCGATCGATTGTGCAACCACGATTGTCAAGCACTTCGGGGCGGTATTCGCCACGTGCCGCGAAAAGCCACTGTGCTACTATGCACGATGGTCGATCCACTGCCAACGCGCTTACCGAGTTTGCTTGTCACGTGGATATCTCTCCCCCTTTTACACAGGGGAGACAATCGAGTACACCGTCGATCCAGATATGGCCGAGAAAATCCGACTTGCGCACCTGCCTCTGCAGAACGCCAATCTGGAGATGAGACGGCGAATTCGACTCTCCACCGAATTTGACACATTGGATGAGTTCCGTGCCACTATCACGGACACGCAAAAGTATCAGCGATACATGCGTGTCGATAGTGAGAGCCTCTCCGCGCTCCTGGCCAAGGTTACACTGACAACATGCTACGGCATCCCGATAAAAGGTGAGCCTGGCTACATCTCCGACGATGAAGAAGAGGAGATTGAGGGAGCCGCAGCGGCAACTGAGAAGCCCAAAGGGAAAGGCAAAGGGGACGATGGCCCCAACGTTCAAGCTATCAATTGGCGTGAGTTGGACCCCTTGGGACGGAAGCTCATTCCGCACCATACTGATCCCCGATTCGCGATTCTCGAGGAGGGGAATACCGCACTCCTTGACGATCCTGATATAGTAGTTCACAAGTCTTTGGCATATACGGCTCGACCGAGTGGACGGCATACGCCCCCCCCCCGGGGGATGGACATGGGGGCCAAGATGACATGCACCCAGTCGATAAAAAACCGCCTATTTGCGGATCGCGTGCCATCTATTTGTGCGCGGAGGGTCTTTCTTTTTCCGTCAAGATGCGCCGACAGGTTCCTAGTCCGATCTCTTCTCGGGCTTTTGCAAATCCAGAGCCTTCGAACAAAGGTGGCTTTGCAGGGATGTGTCAGAAACACGCCTTACCTTAAACCGAGCTTCGCAAAGCCTTCGCAAGTTTTCCAAGCAGGGTTGCCTGGTGGCCTTGTGCGGATGAGCCAGAAACAACGCCTATATACATAACCTATACAAAAAGCATGCGCCACGCCGTGAATATTGCCAGCCAGGCTGCTAGACCTCTTGCAGCTATGTTTTATTCGGCAATGTTACTCTACACAAATGGCTGGCACATCAGCACCCGCACACAGGCACATGCAACACCCCATCACAATGCCATTCGTGTGGACGCCCGGCTCCAAACTTCAATGGGGCTTTGGGCTTTGGGTAAAGGATCATCTAGTTGTGGCTCACAGTTTCGGGTTCTGGCATAGTGAACAATAAAAGGCCCGGAATGAGAGATGCTAGACCGGGACCTCTTGCAGCTATGTTACTCTGCACAAATGGCTGGCACACCAGCATCCACACGCAGGCACGCGCAGCAACTTGCAAGGACAAGAAAGTCCCCGTCGTCTTCCTCGCCAGAAGCCTGAGCGCAGGCAACACGAAACTCGAACCGGAGCATGCGCGGCAGCGAGATTCAAAAGTGGGAGCAAAGGAGAAACGTGCTCCGAAAGAAAACTGCCTAACGAAATATTCGGCGGTTTGCGAGTGTGTGCGCGTGCAGGAGTGCCTTGTGCTGGTAAAGCTAGAGCCCGCCTCGCGTGTGTATAAGCATGTGTAAGCTCTCCCGATCTCCCTCCTATCCGCGTCGCTCAGGTCTGTCTGGCGAGGAAGACGACGGGGACTTTCTTGTCCTTGCAAGCTCAAGATCCAGGCCCAAAGACGCGTCGCCCGCCCAGCGAGGTCAGACCTGAGCGACGCGGATAGGAGGGAGATCGGGAGAGCTTACACATGCTTATACACACGCGAGGCGGGCTCTAGCTTTACCAGCACAAGGCACTCCTGCACGCGCACACACTCGCAAACCGCCGAACATCCGAACAAACCCTCAGAGGCGCCGGCATGGGATGACAAAGGTCCGGATCTGGGCAACACACTCGCGGGGCAAAAGGGGGACCTACGGGCACGCCGGGAAGGCACACAAATTGATGGCACACGTGAGGCACGCTTCCACGAAATGCACTGCGCCCACAACAGTCGCTCCTACACGGTCCTACACCCCTCACTCCTGCCAGACTGAAGACAAGGCCCAGGCCGGTGCACGAGTGAGGACCACAGTGAGGATGTCGAGTCAAGGTTGCCTGGGCATCACACAACAAAGGTTTAGGCTCGGGAGGACAGGAAAGGAGAAGTAAGCCAAAGAAGAAGACGCTGCAGTTTTTTAAAAACGCATGCACCAGCGGCCACACGAATGCATGGCACATGAGGAAGGTACCAACGCACAAGTCGAAGGAGGCGCGCAGGCCCCGAGCAGCACCTAGGCACACACTCGCAGGACTCCTGCGAATCGGGATGGGGTTTACGGCAAAAGGCCGGGGCAGCAGAACCAGGCACTCCTGCACGCACACAGACACTCGCTCGAGAAAGAAACCCCACACAAACCCAGACCCTTCCAAAAACAAAAGAAACCCCGGCAAGCACTCTGAGTTCTGAAGCTCAGGTCCGGACTCACCGACGAAGCGACGTGCAACAAATGGGCCGCAAATTGTGTGTTGTTTTAAGCCAATCGAGAATTGCAATCAGATGTGCCAGGCATTTGTGTCTACTACTGCTGCTGCTGCTGCGCTGCTAGGATATGTTCAAAACACTTCCGCTATGGCCTAGCCTAGAGCTCGGCGGCGGCGCGGCAAGGTGCAAAATCATCGAAAAACTGAATAATTGTTTCAAGCCACACTCCCAAAATATTGTGGCAGCATGATGTTTGGATTTTAAGGAGATTAGGGTATTCGGGCATTGAGGCATTAGGGCCATTAGGTTTTTTAAGCCAATCGAGAATTGCAATCAGATGTGCCAGGCATTTGTGTCTACTCCCCAAGCCCCCTCTTCTAAGCCCAAGTTTTCGTCAGATATGCCAAGGATTTGTTCTAAGAGCCAGGTTTTACCAAAAAACGGAGTGAATGGCATATTGAAGTCGATTTCCGTATGCCAACGATTTGTGAACTACTATACGCCCGATGAAACGCGTAAGGAGTTCAAGGAATTTGTTCGCGATCACGCTCACAAGATAAAGGAGTGTTTCGATGAGGATCGCGCAACCGAGAAGACATTCTTCACTCTTGTTGAAGGAGTGAAGGGTCAGCTCCCTGATGCTAAGAGCACTGACCCGATTCTGATGAAAAGGGATGATGATGTCTTCGAGGCTATGCCCGATGAACTGGAAGAGCCTCACGAGTTATTCGATGTTGCAGCTCGCCAAGCACAACGACGTGGTGAAACGCCTCAGCGCAGAGTGCAGGTCACCGCGCAGAGGCAATCATCGATTCCCGAAGCTCATACCATTCCCGTTCCTCCAGAAGAAGAGGATGAGGATGATAGTGAGCTGGAACGGGTGAACCGACCCGATCCGAAGCCAAAGCGCCGCGGACGGGAGCATCTCGGAGGCATCGCTACTGAGACGAATCCGCCCCCGCCTCGCAAAATGCCGCCGCCGTCGAATCTACCGACTCGAAAATTACAGCGGCAATCGGGCTACAGCGCTGCTCACCCTGATGGAGAGACACTGAGGGTGTCAGGGAGGGCACCATATTCCGATCAGATGAGGTTGCCGTCGGTACTGCGAATGAGGACTCGGCTTCAGGAACCAGATCTGAACAATCCGACGATTGAGGAGGTCATTCGCATGTATCATTCACCGAGCACGCTTCCTATCCTCAGGAAGAAGGCCGCCAGCGTCATTATTGCGATGAATGCGAATCCCGATGACGACGTCAATATGAAGGCGGCTGGAGTGGCTGCTCCCTCTGCCGCGAATGCGGGGACGGGGCGAGGTGCTTCGCCCGAGAGTACGTCCGCTACTACACAAGAGCGGATTAACCCAAAGTTCCCTGCACCAAGCAATCGCACTGCATCGAATCCACCATCGAAGTTGCCCCGCGATGACAAATGGGCTCCTTCGATTGTGCGACCGGCACCGGGTCGAGTGATTACGAGTGCAGAGGCGCGGGGACGCACACAACAGCGCGCTGCTGAAGCAACAGACGCCGCGCCGCCACCTCCTTCCGATACTGCTTCGTCAGAGCCACGATCTCGTACGATGGGTCCGGCCAAAGAGACAACGGCCAAGGGCAAGTCCCGAACAGGGTCCAACGTGGCAGGCCTCATCGATGAAGCTGATGAAATGAGGCAACCGACGAAAGGCAAAGGAAAAGGGAAAGCCGAGAAAGGAAAAGGAAAGCAGGAGAAAGGCCGAGGAAAGGGTGATAAGGGAAACAGAGGAAGGGGCGGTTCCGGACGAGGAAGTAAGGACCGCACCCGTAGCCCCACCACTCGTAGGTAACGACCGTCGACCTACGCGGCGATGCATTGTGTCACTGCAAGGTGAATCCGGTTGAATCTTTCTGACCCATTTCTACACGGCCATGGGGTCAGGCGGATTCTGATGGTGAAGCCCGGCTATGACACAATTTCCGCTACTTCCTCAGCATTCCTTGCCTGCGCTGCGCTGAGCTTAAGACCCACAGGGGTACAATGGCTAGCCATGGTATTTTCCTCGTGTGTCCCTCTCTTTTCACGGACACTCGATGCTGCCGAGTCTACACTCTGAGCGCGTTGAGTCTAGTGTGTTACCCCCGCATAGATCCGATGGAACATCCGATTGCCAACGATCACACGGCAAATCGCTATGCGCCTGACGATCACAAAAGGCTGCGTATGTACAGAAGTGAAACATAGGTTTGATCCGGATGCAGAGACCGACCCACATCTAATGGTTCTTTATTGCTTTAAGCTTAGCTGACCGGAAGAGGTGTGGCTCGGTGCACAATCAGTGTACGTGACTTTCCTAAACTCCGCTCTCCTCACGCGTGAGCTCGCGTCGAGGGGGGTGTGATTTGTCACGGACATGCGTACATGTGCTTCTGTGTCCTGGTTAGGATTCACGCCAACTTTGTCTCACTTACGCAGCTTGACTGCTCAAGACCGACCCTGCATCAGGTCCAGCAAAAGGTCCGCTAGCGCCTGGGGGTTCTAGTGTTGCCTTTCCGCTGAGCGTCAAACTTACGGTTTTAATCTCTGATCATCCTTGCTTTGCTTTGCTGCTTTGCTTTGATCTACGATTGGTTGCCTTGGGCTTTGTGACCGAGAGTTGAGTGGAATCCTCCACTTTTCACACTAACTATAGTAACTATAACTCGGCGATGGAACCATTGCTGGCGCTAGATCGCTGGATACGTTATACTCAAAGTGAGTTACAGTCTCTTCGAGCCGACGCCCTTCAGTTCAAGGAAGAGGAGAAGTCCATCCATCGCATTCAACAGGCCCAGTTGGACTCCCTTCAAAGCCAGCTTCGAGATCTTTCTCAGCAGATGACAGAAGTTACTGAGGCTACTACGGAGCTGTACAATCAGATTATTAGGCAAATTCGAGGCACTCTTGACAGTTTGATGTTTGATTTGAAGCATCATTTTGATTCGATCCCAAATGGTATGGTACCACCTACACAACCTGCTTACAGTCAAGGGCTTTCCCAAGGTAGCTGAACGTGGTCTCACCTGACAGATACAATTTTTGGTTCTTAAAAGAAGTTGTGACGAGTGCTGTGAGAGTTTTTTGACAAGCATCTTGTTTGATACTTCTTTTGAGCAATGCAGTTTCCTTGGCAGCTGTTTTGGTCTTCGTAGAGTGACGTTTGATTGCGTAGTGGATAGCCAAAGGGGACGTAGCCGTTCACCCACCTCTACCGGACTACTATGGCGATGGTGTTGGAAAACACCAGATTCTGGTAAGAGTTGGTACTGGGAATGGTGTCCGGTTACCTACAACTGGATTCGCAAGAAGGCGGCTATCAATCCCAGCGCTATTCAATTACCTTCGACGTCAACTTCAAGTACTGAAGCACAGTGTCTCATCAAGGACGATGCACCTTCCAGGAAGAGAAAACGAGGCCGTACACCGTGAAAGAAGCTGAACAGCTAATTAATCTTTTTGCTGAGCTTTGTAGTGCTTAGCCTGCATTGACTATTCAGAGCAGTCGCTTTAAGCGACAACAAGATCTTGCTTGTGAACATTAGTTTCACTTGCATTGAATGGACGTCTTGAGCATAAAAGAAATTACTTCAGCCTGTTTGCAAGTGACTGGTTGCGACTGTCTTTTGGTGTTCAAGCAACATTGCGTACTGTTACGTGCAACCGAAGAATTTCTTTCAAAAGCTAGTGAGTAGCATTGTGCTTTGATTGCAACATGAGCGATTCTCAACAAGTGGCTGATGAAAATCTTACCGCTTCACCTACACCATCGGAACACCCTTCGGAGCGCCGGGAGCGACTTTCGCAAGCTCTACTACAAATATTGGAGCAACAACCATCCGAAGTGGGCTCTAATCGTGAATTGTAGGCGGAGTTTGTTGAGACTATGTACTACTGCTGAGATTACCGCGCTGAGCAACGTGTTTCAACTTTGGAGTTTCTGCGTTCGTAGCGGCTTTCGTAGCGTGATTCCTGCTTGCTTTAGTGATTTAATCCGTTTTACCTCAGGTTTTTTTCTGATTAAAAGCAGGGAAGTGATTAGCAGTTTTTAGGTGAACGACAGTTTCACTTCAATCGATCGTGTCTCTCGAGCACAAAGGAAGTTCTTTGAGGAGCAAAGGGTTTTGATGCTTGAGGGTTTAGGATTTCTAACTTGTCTAGTTGTTCTGTTGCCGGGATCGTGTGTGTGCAACTCCTGTATCCAAGCATTTTGAGTCTCTAAAGTATCTGCACTGATGCTTTGCGTTGGAAGAAAGGCAAGGAGTTTGAGTCTCTAGAGTCTCTACATCATTGCATTGTATATGAAGAGAAGCAGGGGGCTGGCAGCCTATTCCGTGATGCCAGCCAACGAAGCTAGCGGAATGGGTGGAAGGAGCTATGGACGCATAGCTCTGTACCTGCGGTTTCACTCGCTGATCGATTTGCATCTTCAGTCTTATGAGCCTTGAGTCCAAAACATTCAATTGCATCGCTCATCTAATGTTTGAGATGAACCAGGAACAAAAGAAGATTTCTGAGGCCTTGGTGTTCGAACTCAAGATAATCTAGATATGAAGATTTTGCAGCTGAGACAAGAAGTATCCACAGGAAGTGTGAAAGGAGAAACACTACGAGACAACCGGCAGAGACCGGATTTCCATGTGTGTGTGTGTGTGTGTGTTTGGTGCATGGCGTGTCATGTGTGTGTGTGTACACCTTGATTCTACGCTAAGGGTCCCTGGTATCTCATATTGTTTGCAGCAGGGTCCTGAGGCTCACAGACAGGACTCAGGCCAACGAAGACGCCTGTCAGTTGAGTGTGATATGATCCTAGGACGCTGGGATCACGTACCTGCTTTTTCGTTGAATAGCAACAGCCTGAGCCGAGAACCTGACAGTGCTATGCAGTAATTGCGTGAGAGTGTCGACTTTTCCAGGTTATGGTAGCCTCTCACTGTCTTGAAGATCGTCAATGGCGTCGAATAGTGGCGGAAGCCGAATTACGCAACATCTACCATTCTCCGTGTGTCGGCCTCGTTGCCAGTAGACACCTAGCCCGGATTGGGCAATGTCAGTTTCCAGATTCTGAGCTGGGAACACCCAATGAGATTGAACACCAACCACAGCGCAAACGCCGGCTTCGGATGATTGATGAAGATGAAGAAGGAGTAAGAATACTTACTGGAGGAGTGGCAAACTTGTATCTCGTGACGAGGAACGAGTTACGACTATGTGTGCTAGCCTACCTGTACCTACTCGAAGCCTTTCAAGGTATCTTCGCTAGAAACGGAGTTTCGTTCGCTATCGTCGCTCGCAGGAGAGTTGCCTCTGACATGCAGGGGCAGCATTGATTTGGAATGGCTACGAATGTGTGACAACCATTGCCATTCTGGATAAAGTCCCCCTTTCTAGGCGGGGGTAAGTTTGAAGTAGAGGGGTGAGGAAGGAGTACTTGGCTAACAGCCCCGCGAGAATGGCAGCCTCGCCTCGGTCCCCCTCGGCTACTTCAAGAACGGCGAGCCCTAGGTCTCCGGCGACTACAGTGGTCCCGGCTAGTCCCGACAAAGAGCAGCAGGATAGTCCGTTTGTCCAACCTACGGTCGTTCCAGATGGCCTGGGCGAGGGGCTAGATGCGATGCTCGCGGGGATAGGGAGTCCGGTTGAGCTTCCGTCCTTGAGGGATAGCGCTCTTGAACAGAAGCGCGCGGTGCTGGATAAATGCCACGAGCATTTGGTATTATCGCGGGGCTTTGGTGTTCTAGAGCTGGCTACCCTCGACCTCGAGGACGCAGAGGAAGTAGGACAACAAGTTGCGGGAGAACTGGGCGTTGGCCACCACGAGTACATCGGGGACTCGATCTACTTGTGGATACAAGAAGCTAGAGAGGCCAGAGATCTGGTGGAGAGGACTTCCGGCTACATGGCCTCCTCGTTGGCCCGGAAGAAGCTTAGCAAGCGGCCTGCGGTGGAAGGGATCGATCTCCAGGAGCCGGAACCACCTAAGCGCCACAGGCAGAAGCGCCTCATCAACGAAAACCTGTCGGAGAGAAACCCCGAAGAGTCGTTGTTCCTACCGAACCACCTGGTTGAGTCGTCCGTCCACCCACAAAAAGACCATACTCCGTTACCTGCTAGTCTAGAACGCTTTGGTGTTGGAGTACGAGACCCAGCAGCACGACAAGCATCTAGAAGAACTACTCGAGAACGACTTCGGCATCATCCTTGGTGGTGGTACACATAAAATAAGAAGAGAGCTTTTGAGGGAGCTCTTAAGGCTGCACCGGCTGCTGTCGTTGACGTGGACTAGGCGTGATGGCGACTCCAGGACCTTCGGAACCTGGACCTCAGCTACCGCAACCTCCCCAGGAGACCAATCCGTTTCAGGGGACACCGGTGAGCCCTACGAGCCCTAGCCAGCAACCTTTTGAGCGAGTGCTAGAGATGCTTACGGCTTCCGTCCTCCAGAGCGCAGAGAACTCTCAGCACATGAAGGAGACTCTCGACGCCCTGACCAGGCGTACTTTGACCGATAGCAGTTCTACTCAGTCTGGGGTGTGGTCTCGGGTGATCGGCAAGCCAGATGTCTTCAAGCCAAAGGACAGGGAGGAAGAGCTGTCCCAGTTTTCCGAGTGGTCGTGGCAATTTAAACAGTATGTGCGCGTGATCTGCCCAGGGATGCATAAGTTGCTTGAGAGCGTGGAGTCTGACCTTGAAGACACTAACGTGCACTCTGAGATGTCTGCAGAGACATTGGATTTGTCGAAGCAACTGTACGCTTTGCTTGCTAGCCTGTTGAGAGAGCGTCCTGTGCAAATCTTGAAGGCCATTCCAGATGGCAATGGATGCGAAGTTTGGCGGACTTTGGTTCGCACCCTGGCACGTAGCGACCTAGCAACAAAGCTAGATCGTTGGCGCTGCTTGGAGCAATTTCTCAGTTTCCAGCTATGACAAACTCCAACTACCATGAGCAGATTTTGAAGCTGGAAGAGTTGTGCCGTAAGTACAACCAGTCGTCTGGCAAAGAAGTGGATCTGGAGTTGAAAGCAGCTATTCTTTTGAGGTCGCTGCCAGCTTCGTTGCGTACACATGTGAGCGTGATCTGAACTGCAGTGAGAGTGCTACGTATGAACAGCTTCGAGAAGTGATTCTTCGTTACGAACGAGCAACCCAGAAGTGGACAACACAGCTGTTTTCAGGTTCGCCCCCACCTGCTGGAGATGGTGCTGTGCCTAGGGATGTTGACATCGTGAAAGGTGGAAAAGCTGATAAAGGCAAAGGCGAAGGCGACTGGAGGCACACAACCACAACAACCCCAAAGTAGGCAAGGACCACAAAGGAAAGGGTAAAGGATACTTCCAGTGCTACCAGAAGGGCAAGCAAGGGAAAGGCAAAGGTGGTTTCAAAGGCAAGGACAATAAAGGAAACGGAAAAGGCTATAACCACGACAACCCGAAGGGCAAGAGCAAAGGCAAGACCAACGTGCCCTACAACAACTGCAAGATTTGTGGTAAGCCAGGGCACTGGAGTAACGAGTGTTGGATGAAGAAGGTGAACCAGGTGAACAACAACCCTGGTGCCCCAACTGTGCCACAACCACCTGCTGCCCCTGGAGGATCCTCGAGTGCGACTCCAACGACTACGGCCACGGTGAAGCGCGTCTTCAACTTGGCAGATGACACAGATGCAGTTCAGTTTCCAGTTGTCGGGGGTTCGTTGAGTGTCTTCGAGGAGTACTGGGATGATGAGGAGTGGTCTGAGTGGTGGTGCCAACATGTCACAGCTTCGGAGTGCGAGTACTACGACATGAGTGCTGGAGATAGTTCTGAAGAAAACTGGACCTACGATGATACAGCCGTTTCGGCATTCGACATGACAATGTCCGATGCCCTTCCAGGTGATGAAGATTGGGTCCAATGCGATTGGGCCAAGACCTACGTGCAGATGGTGCAACAAGGACCTGCAGAAGGCTGGACCAGTGAAGGGACCAAGGTTGAAGTGGTTCTTGGTTCGGGCGCTGATGTGAGTGTGATGCCAGAGCAGTGGTTGCAGTTGGATGTGGGGCAAAATGCACCGGGAGAACGCGTCCTCATGAGGGATGCACAAGGACGTGAGATGCCGAATCTCGGCACTCGTAATGTGTCGTTAGACCTTGGCCAAGCAGTACTTCATGAGCGCTTTCATGCATCGTCAGTGGCTACCCCATTGCTGAGTCTGGGTGGACTGTTGAGGAAAGGATGGAGTTTGAACCACCGTAACAACATGTTGTGCCTGTGCTTCGAGGATGTGGCAGTTCCTGTGAGTTTTCCGAGAAATTCCCTGGTGGTGGAAGCAACAGTGCACAATGTGGAAGCAAGTGACATGAGCCCAATCGTTGAAGAAGTTACCGAGGAACCCAGACCTCCAGAGGAAGTTCGTCCGCTGTTAGAAGGGAGACGCCACTATGCTACTTTCGATTTCAACCCTGTTGCTATTTCCACATCTGAGGCTGGTGAGCTCGATCCGAACGGGCGACGGTGGACTTTTCTGCCGACGGGAGACCCGGTTTGCCTCTCTGTGGGTTTGAACTTTGTTGACCCTAGTGCCATGATGAACACTGCGCTGTGGAATTTTCGAACTACCGCTGTGAAGATTGCTGAAAGTTGGGAAGTGTTGGAGTTGCATCACGATTTGAGTGCAATGTCAACTACGAGTGGTGCTCTTTCAGCGCTGGATGACTCTCTCCCTGGAGTGATGTATGAGAGCCTGACCATGACGGTGATGCATCGTACAATCGTGGAGCCCGAGAAGTTTGGCTTTCATGTGGAACCTGAGGCCCCAAATCCCTTACTGGGTGCACCTCCGCCTCAGGTATCTCCGGAACCACTACAGGCTGACGAAGGGATGCCAGGTGCCAACGACTCCAATGTGGAGGATGAGCAACCTGGCGCGCAACCTGTGTTGCCGGGGATACAGTTGGAGAAGCCTATTCCAGAAGAGATTCAACCCAAGCTCTCGTGTGCACCATGCGTTGATGCGGTCCTTGACTTCGTTCATGTTTGGATGTCTCACCGCCTTCTCACCTTCAGCATCGGGGTCCGCATTTCGAACTTGTTCCACCTTCTCTTCGGGGCCATAAGCAAAACGATCGTCACCACTGAGACCGCAAGCAGGATCATGTAGAGCGGCTTAGTCAGCACCGTGAGGAACCCGCCGAACGTCACGTAGGGCTCGGAAGGAACGCTGCAAGTCGGTGCTGGATCAGATGCCGTAGCTCGACTCAAGGCTATGGCAGCAGTCAAAACCCTAAGCACTTCAGCTGCCTGTGATTTGCGTCGCCCCACTGGTTTTGGAAACTTTGCCGGAGTTATCAAGCCGTCAGTGTTGTACACGCCCAACAAGTACTTCATTCTGTTTGAGGTCAAACCTTCGGTGCCGAGATCGCTAGTGTTGACAAGAGTAGCCACTGGATGCACTGACAAAGCTTTATCACGAACCAAACTCTGTGTCCACAGTAACCTGACGTCAAGGTGTCTAACGCGAGAGACACCAGCCTTCGTGAGGAGGCTGCGCGCACTCGAGCTATCCAGCCGAGCAGCCAGGATCACCTCATCTTCAGTCAGGCTTGTCAAAAGGTTCTTCAGGAATAACGCTTCAGCGATTGCAGATGTAGAAGCCATCAGTTCCGACTCGCATGAGGACAATGCTACGGTAGATCCGTCGACTGTATGAGAACATCAGATTCCCATCCAAGAATATGTGTCCCGACGTCACCGACTTCCTATCAGCACTCCCAGCCCAGTCTGCATCACTTACGGTTTGGACTCCAGGGTCACACCAGGCGGCAAAGGTTCACCGCTGTCTCCAAGCCTTGGCTGGAAGCGCGGGCTCTCGTCCAGAAACGATCTTCCCGGTGTACTCCACCGCAAGACCAGGCTATAGTCCCGGGTGTAGTACAAATACTCCGCTAGGTATTTCACATGTGACAACTGTTTCACCGTAGGCGACGACAGTCCCCTAGCCAACACACCAATCGTGTACTGCGAATCGGGCCGATCAGGAGCAAGATACAACAGACATCCTAAAGCTGCCCTGTACCGTCCTGTCCACATAGCATAAAGCTTCTCCGTCTCGTCGAGGGCCGTCAGGTCGGTCGTCGCTAGCACCTTGCGGGAGCGAGGTTTGGAAATCCCAAGGACTTGTATGATTTTCTCCACATACTTTGCATCGATCACTATCCGCAGTCCTTCTGGCACCACCTCCAGTGTACGTTTGAGGAAACGGAGTTGATCACCAACATTCTTCAATGGAGGACTGCACTCAAGCTTATACTTTTCTTTCAGCACGCCAACCGTCTGGTCAACCTGTTGCTCGAAACCTCCAAGTAGGCCATCATCTACATGTACAGTAGCTGCTTGATCTTTGCCTCCATATATACACAACTGGGCACGCAACATTGCCGGTAAGGCCACAGGTCTGAAGATCTCCACTCAACTCATCATGCCAGTACACAGGAGCAAGTTGTTGTCCAGGTAAACACTTCCAGACACGGTAAACTTCATTGTCCAACCTGATGTACAGTTCTTCACGCTGCTTCAACATCAGGAAGGCATCCGACACATCGAACGATCGCAAAACCCAGCCTGGAGTACTCACGAACATGTGAGGTAAGAGGCGAAGCATCGAGGGACATGTAGACGGAGCATACGTATCCTGCCGAAACGGACTCCATGCTTTCAGCTGCTTGCAAACTTGCTGCGCACGACGCAGCCAGTGCTGCTTTCAGAACCGCCAGTCATAATCATACCGGCACTGCAAGGTCTTATCCGCCGGAGGATCGATATCCACCTTCTCCAGGACGCCCATGTCGATGAGGCGAGACTTTTCGTCAAGCCTCGACGTAGCCTCAACCTTCTCCAGCTGGTCTGCAGAGAGGACAGGAGGTCCATCCCCTCTTCTCCTTGATCTTCCCAGAACACTTCTGGATCGGTCTCCGGGGTGAAGTCCATCCAATCATCGTCGTAGTACTGCAGAGCAAACTCCAAACCGTGCCACCAATCCTCCATCTCCTCATCGGCAACGAAGTAGTCCACTTCCCCAACTCGAACAGCTCTGACCTTCTTGACCGGTTGGTCACTCCCAGCAAATTCCGGGACTTCTCGCTTTTCACCTCGTTCTTCCACAGCCATTGGAGCTGGCTCAGCAGCCGGACTCAACAAGTCCGAAGGAAAGCTATGAGGAGACGAATCATCGCCATCCCCTCCTGGCTTACGATCCCTCTTGGACCCTCTGGCATCCCCTCCTGGCTTCTCACTGCTAGCTTCTGACGTCGACTCTTCGCCAGACTTCTCGGGCTCCGACGTTGGGTCAGAAGCGGCTTCCTCCCTTGGGCTTGCTCCATCTGGAGGAGGTAAAGGATGCAGAGGCACTGGTAGTCCAGCCATGGGCTCTGGACGCGGCTTGCGTTCACGTAATCCAGGTACTAGCTTCATACCCATAGATGACAAACCGTATCTCCAGGGCTTACCTTGAACTTCTCTGAGTAAAAATTTGTCCCATTGTTGTGCTTCAGGAAGACGCTTGACTGTTGACGACAAATACACTCCCAACGCTGTACCACAGATATTGAGGTCATTCAACATGGTTTTCCCCAAGAGCACACCCTTCGCAAACTTCGGCCGGCCTTTGCGTCGATGGGGCTCAGAGATAGCGAACAGCATCGTCTCGCCCCACATCGCCAGCCGTCCATTGTACTTCACCTGAAAGGCACGCTCGTACGGCGTGGTACCCGCAGACACTGCAAAACAGTTATGCAAGGTCGACGCATGCACATAGGCCCACGGGATCAACTCGGGGTTCGAACTGAGAACAAATCCGATATCCCGCATACTCAAGACTGCTTGTTCAGCTGCGCCGTTGGTCTGGTGTTCATAGGGCTGAGAAGGAGCCTTGCGGGTAGACAAACCTGCTTTGTTCCGAGCTTCCACAACCTTGTCACACAAGGGTACCATCGGTGGTTCATTGTCTCCCCTGATCTCTGCTTCAATCCTACCAAGGTACGACAGAAACCCAAGAACTTCTTTGGCAGCATGTTGCAACGCAGTAGTGTCCTTTCCAGGAAGGGGTACTGAATGAATCATTCCAGTATCCCGATCTACGCATACCAAAACAGTCAACTACTTCTCCTTGTTATCCGGGGCTTGCTTCATGAACTCGCATATAGAACCTTCCAGAGAGGCATACATGAGGTCCAAGCATAGAACTGGCCAACCGCCAGTGGAGCGGTGAGCCTCATCACTTCGATGAGCATCCCTTCTTCCTCTTGTTGACGACAGTTGGTTGTTTTAGAACCTCAGGGACAGACCCCAGAGCTACCTGGACCTGCTGATGGACCTCATTCGCCAGCGACAACAGCGAGATCAAGTACCTGATCCATGGAATCAGAACCCGAACAACCAAGGACCGGCAAGTGTGCCGGCGGCAGGACCAACAGGACCTACTGGATCCGCTGGGCCTGGGATCAGGCCTCCTATGACGCCGGGACCTGCAACGTTCCGGATCGGCAGTGGTCGTGCAGTACATCGTGCTTCGTGCGGAATGGTGGAAAGAGCCCAGAGGTTGGAACCAGAGAAGCTTATTCGACTTTCGGTCGAAGAGGCTCTCACAGCTGGCCTTAAGAGATGCGGCAGTGCAGACCGTGAAGGAGAAGTTCTACATGTGTGGGATGAGTCGTGATCTGAGTCGGTTCGACAATCTGACCTGAGCACCTTTAGTGTAGCTTCGTTTTCTCCAAAGAGGATAAGTCGCTTTTAGGTTCGAGTAATGGGCCGCGCATTTAAAATCCTCCGTCGTAGATGTGTAAAAGCTTTTCGCAGTGTGTGTGCATAGTGTTTTCCAAGTAAGAGTTCCGTACTTCTAGTGACAAGAAAGGGACCCCAAAGATGGTCAAAGTACGGACACAAGCTGTTGTTTGGAGCCCTGTAAAGTTGCCAGGACTAGAACAAAATGAAGAAAGGCCCACCAGAAGGCCCCTGGCAAGTAGGTGTAGTTGTACAGTGTAGGGCAAAGGACTTTTGGGAATCTGCAAGATCCGAATGGATATCAGCTGACCCAATGGTGTCGGCATGAAGCCTGTAACTTAAGTTTCCAGGCTCATGAGGAGTGGTGCAAAGCCTAAATCTATCCTCTCGAGTGCGCATGCATGCAAATACCAGTACGACTGAAGGCTTTGGTTTCAAGCGAAAAGAGTGAAGTTTGCTGCCGCTTTACATCTTTACAGAGCTACTGGTCGCAAACAAGAGTCCATGGATATTCGTGGCGGCATGTACCGGAGCCTTCTCGACTACTTCCTCGAAGCTTGGTCTGAGTCTCTGAAATGCCCCCATCTCTGCGCTCCCAAGGTGCGGCATGTTTCCGCGAACAGTCTACGCCTTCTCAAACAGTATGAAGACGCGCTTGGAGGCCAGCCTTACCAGGATTTGCCAATTTGCCAAAGCGTTCCCAGGGCTCTTTCCGCTGATGGCAACTGTTCTGGAGTGGGGACACAGTATGTCACAGTATGTCTTTCGACCAGTGGGCGGTATTTCGTCAAAGCAGTCGGAATACAGCATATATGTCTCCCAGTGGCTCCTCAACTCTACCAGCGCATCATATCTTCTGAACGATCGGGATTACGACGCTCACACTCCCCTCCTGATTGAGGTTCACGCGAACCAGTAACCAGCGTACAGGTACAAGTGGACGGATGAGGGCGCTGAACCGAAATTCCGAGACCATGAAAGAGGCAGCGGACAGGAGGAACGAGAGACAAAAGGCGAACAAGGCGCGTGGATCTGGTGGCCCCTCGTCTAACGCACCTCCTGGAGCAGGCTCTCCACAGGGAGATGGAGCTTCAGGTGCACCTTTGCCCGGTTCTCAACGTCCTCCACAACCTGCGCAATCTCCTGATGCAAAGAAAAGGCGGCAAAGGAGGCAAATCCTCCAAAGGAAAGTCAAAAGGCCAGTCCAAGGGCAAGAGCAAGGGGAAGAACTGACTAGGTTCTGACGTGGGCGAGGATGACTATGACGACATCTCTGATGAAGACATGAATCCGAGCCCTACGAATCCTCTTGATCGTATAGATCCCAGTTTTCGCTTCGAGCTGAAAATGAAGCCGGTTGAGCGCTGGCATTAGCTTCGTCGC